GGGGCCTTCGCCCCGGCGGGTGCGGTAGCCTGCGCACCCCGGAGCGGAGCCGCCGGTCCGCGCTCGCCCCTGCTCCCGGCCCACTCTCCCTGTCCGCTCCCGACGCGGAGGGCACGGGTGGCCCGCACGAAGTTGCCGGTGCACGGTGCAGACAGCAAACTGTTCTGAAGCCGCTGGCCTGCCGGTCACCGACGCGACTGTCCCCGGTCCGGGGTCGCTTTTCGGATCCCGAAGTTTGGAGAAAGATTGTGCAGAGATGCGAGGTGGGGCTGGAGCGCCGCTGCTGCAGAAGTGCGCTGCTCCCGCCCCCCGGGACTCGGGGCAGCGCCGGCGCGCTCGCTCTCTGGCTTCTCAGTGCTACTTGGGATGCGTTTCGCTAGAAGCCACTTATGGAAATGGCCCTGGTATTAGCCCGGCGACTGCCAGGGAGCTAGACGAGCAAAGTTAAATGGTTTTAAGGTGGTGATTGACGAGGGAGATCTTGCCCTTGTTTGGCAGTGGTAGCTTAAATCGTCCAGGTCTCCGTTCAAGCCAAGATCTGCTATTCTTCAGCCTTGCAATTTGCATTCCAAGTTGTCTCGATAACACACACACACGTTTAGTTTTTTCTTTTGTGCCTCAGGGTATATAAAACAATTAAGTTTATTATACTCTTTTGCCCCGTGGCCAAGAGCATCTGTTTGGGGGGAGAAATTAGTTCAAAATATGATAAATTATGATATTTATTGCTTAAGTTCATAAAAGTACTTTTACGTGGAAAATCCTAATCCCAAAAGAAGTACAATGGATCAGTTTTGGGGTATGACCTCACTCGGTGTTTTTCTCTTAGTGAACTGGGTAGGTTTGAGTGTCGTGTTTGTTGCTGTTAAGGAATGAAACAGATTAGACTCAGAAAAGCCGCAGTAAGTACAACACTGCTAGTCCCATCATTTATTTTGGAGTTTGCTTAAAAAATGAGTCAAAGACTAGAAACAACGATTGTGCAAATAAAAAAGTATCTTTTGCAGGTTTTTTAAAAATTACTATTTAAAACAATTTTCAAGTTTAAATATATTTTGGTCATATTCTTTCCCTCCCCCATGCTCTTTCAGATTCCTCCTCCCTACGCTATCGTCTTTAAGTTCTTTCTCAAAAACAAAATCAAATAATGCAGTTTTTAAATACTAAGTTTTAATTTCAAAAGATGAAACATTAAGAACAAAGGAAAAATGTATTTTATAGATAGTGAGTGTTAGCTTCGGTTTGACCATTTTTCTTTAGAAAAATTCTGCTCCCTCAAATACCAGAAGCATCGTGTTGGTAACAGGCTTAGCAGAGCGCTTTTTTTTTTTTTTTCCAGCTGGGAAAAGTTGGGGCCACCAAAGCCAGGAGGATCTGCATCTCACTGTAGGGTCAAATAAATTTATTTTACATAAGTAAATGCGGAGCCAGTTAAGCAAGGGTATTGCTGTTTGAGAATCCTAGCATTACAGTCAAATCAACAGATGGGCAAGTTGTGACTGGGTTAGGTTTGACAGGAGCAAAAAGCCTGCCCCTGAATTTTTATGAAAAGCACCACGGGCTGTGTCAGTGAGATGATTAAAACAGCTTAAGGTGGAAGGATTTTGTTTAAAACAAAAGAAAAACAAAAACCCAAACAAATAAACATTTATCTCCTTTCTTTCTTCCGTGTTTTTGTTCAAGTCTCCGGGAAATACTTAGTGAGGCATGAACATTACTTTCATGTACTGGTTCCATGGGACTCTCTCTCCTGGTGAAGGATGTGCTGATCATTGGGAGGAGGGGCTAAAAGGAGGGAAGAGTTGGTTACCTGCTGTACACACACAGATACTATGGTTTGTCCTCAGGCAGGTGGAGAGAAATGACCCTGCTTCCAGTGACTAGAATATAAAATTTACGCTGAAGCTGAGGAACGAGGGACTGGATCTTACCAGACAGCAGAGGGTTTCAGAAAAGGCGTTTGTGGAGGGGATCTGCGTGGCCCCACTGGATGGTGAGACAGTAAGAGAAACACTTTATACAGGGCCACCAGCTGCCAGACCTTTGTTTATCCTCAGGAGTGTTTCTTTGACTCCCGACTTGCTGAGGGAGTAAATGAGTGCCAAGATCAGGTAGGCAGGAAGTGGTGGAGTCACCTTGGCCTGGACACCTGGCTTTACCCACTGTCCCTGCGTTCCTGCCATTCAGGAAGGTCTTGCTCAGGTCTGTAGTTGAAAAGAGTAGATTTTGGAGAATGCATCTAAAGTTTGAGATTGATTTTCTGAAAAACTCCCAAGATAATGAAAACCTAGGGAAAGGAGCTGTGGTTTTGTTTGTTTTTCATACAGGGTCTCACTGTGTAGCTGCGTAGTTCTGGGCTGTCCTGAGACTCACTTTATAGACTAGGCTGGCTCTAACTCACAGAGATCCACCTGCCTCTGCCTCCCAGTGCTAGGATTAAAGGTGTGCGCCACCTCACTCAGCGTGTGAGTTATTTTTGTCATAGAAAATATGTTAGCCCACGTTTGAAAGATGCTTTTGGTGCTAATTAGTTGTAACCATTGAGGGAGACTTTTGATAATTTTGAATTACTGCTTGTCAGCACCAATGTAGATTCAAAATGAGAAATTAACAGTACACTAACCCTTTCTCCACTGCAACATTTCAACTGCTATATATTTTAATCTTGTGTTTTTAAAGGTTACTTGGCATTAAGTATTGTTTGGATTGAATTATGAAGTTGAATTGAGTTGACGATGTCAGTCTCATCCCCTTTCATTTTGTGTTTCCGTAAGTAGCTGTTATGGCATTGTCTGGAACAAGGTGTGAGTACAGTTTTGTACATGTGTGAAATGGGAGAAGTTCAGCTGTGGATGCTAAACATTTGGGGTAACATGTAAGGTCTCTGGGACCGTGAAGTCACAGGTGTTGTGGTAGGCACTGTGCTTCATACAGGTATGCTAGATAAACAGGTGCTGAAAGAATAGTGTCTGGCTTTATTTATGAATCTTCAGGCTGAATGTTTGTTGATTAACTGGAGATGCAATCACAGTTGTCCTGCCTGCATTTCTCACACGTCCAGTGAGAGCCAGGCTCTTCCCTTTCTTCCTTGCTGAGACTGTGCTTGTTACAGAGAGGTCCGGGGGCCAGTCCACAAGCTAGTGGAGGAAGTGGTGTTCTCTTGGCTGAATGGGATAAGCTCTGGGATTTCCCCCTTCTCCAAGCCAGTCTTTTACTGTTCGTGAGCTTGAATGGGGGAGAGGAGCAGAGCTGTCAATATTTAAAGTCCACGAAACAGGACGAAGATGCAACAATAAGCTGTTAGCACAGCTTCCATCACCGTTTCCGTTTGTCGTCCCGTTGTTACTGATTCCACATGTGCAACGTTTGCGTAACCGCACGTCTCTGAGCACGCGTGTGCAGGTCGCATTCCTTGTCTGGCCTTTTCAGTTACTTGTCCCTTTGACAGCAGCTTCCCAATCACCGGCCCAAAATTTCGCAGGGATACTTTTAAGTCCACTTTATAGTTTGCAAGGTTTACAGGGATCTCTAAGTACAGGTTTGGTTAGAAAGCTTCTTGGGGTGAAGGGGCGTCAGTTCCATCAATGGGAGAGCAATCTCCCTCCTAGGGGAATGAAAACTTCGAGAGCATCTTTTCCCACCTGAGAGGCGCTGAGGCATTTATAATACTGGCCTCTTAGACAGCCTCTGCACAATCTTAGGGACGACCTTGACAGTTCCAGGCCGCTTGGTGCTCTGACCGCACACAGATCTGTGCGTGACTGAGCAGAACTCAAGGCTTGCTAGTTGCCTGAGGGGAGCTGAACTTGTTTGAAGCTTAGTTTAAATCTTTTAATGTATATTGTGCAAAATAAGAAGTTTCATTGTGGCATTTTCGTAATACATATAATGTACTTTGACCCTGTTGGCCCTGCTGCTGCTCTCCTGCTGTCCCTCCTCTCCCTTTTACATTCTTGAACTCGCTTTTTACCTTCCCTGGAGTAATCCCTTCTTCCTTCCTCCTTCCTTCCCCAGTTATTCGCTACCTTTGTATTTGATTCAGGACGGGAATTTATCCCCTCCTCTCCTGGTTTCTGGAGCCTCTTTGTTGTGGTTCCTGAGCAGGGTGAGGTTAGTAATGTTAGTCCCCCAGATCCCCTGCAGACACCTTTCCGGTGAGAAGCTAGAGGGCAGCACCCAGGTGACCGCGCCATTGCTGATGCCCCAGCTATTTTTGCCACGACAAATCGCAGCCTTTGCTGTGGGTCCCAACTTTTACTGTGTCTGTGAAAGGGTGGAAGGCTGAGTCTGGGGCAGAGAAGCCCCTGTAGACGCTAACACGCCCCCCCCCCCCCGAGTCTGGGGCAGAGAAGCCCCTGTAGACGCTAACACGCCCCCCCCCTCTGAGTCTGGGGCAGAGAAGCCCCTGTAGACGCTAACACGCCCCCCCCCCCCTTCGTAGAGTCTCGTGCCCGTGTGCACGTGCCGGAGCCGCCGCGCCTGTGGTCCTCAGCAGTCCTCAGTTGTCTGGCCAAAACTGTCTCCCCGAGTGATCCGTAGTGTTGGTTCAGAGCCGTCTGAGTGGTCTCCTCTTGCCCAGGCTTCACTCGGTTTTCCCCAGGTAGATGTCTAGTTTCTCAGTTGCTGTTTAATGTGTTTCTTAGTACATACTGGCAGAGTCCTCAGTAACATAAAAACACTGTGTCTAGATAGTCTAATTGGATACGCACGGGAGCCTGGTGGATTATTGAGGAAATTGAACCTTTACTAGTAAGGTGAGGTGAGTTGGCAGGAGTGGGGGGATAGAGTGATAGTGACAGCTAAGACCCAGGCTTCCTCTCTCTCCTGTTACTTTATTACATCAGCTTTTCCTTTGCCGTTTGCTCTCCCAGGCTTGCCCGACTTTCCCTTTTTTCCCCTCCTACCTCTTAAGAACTGTTTACGGTTTTGCACGCCAAACAAATTTTCCTAGGAAATATCTACAACTGTGCTCAGATTTATAGTGAGGGGTTTGCTCCTGGAGAAAGCTTATCTCAAGACTACTCATTGCATCTCATATTGTGTTTTATGGTTCTGTGAAGCACTTTTATACGTGTTCTTGCTCATTTGTGGGGATGTTACTGTTACATCCATTTGTGAAGAACTCAATTTAAATCACTTGTCTGACATCTTAGCTTAGATAGAGCCAACACCTAAATTTGAATCTAATGTGCACACATACATGTTTGTTGTCTTAATAGATTAAAAGCTGCTGTGAGCAGAGTATTTGCTGAGAACTCTACAAAATTAGTAGATCAGACGTGGTTCTTGACCTCAACAATCAAGCCAAAATAAACAAAACTATGAACCATCTTATTTAATTAAAACCAATCAAGGTTGGCTAAATACAGCACAGCATTTTCTTTAACAGTGGTGTAGTGAGCCTTGGGCGTTGTTTTTAATTTTGTTGAATTGTGAGGCTGGATTTTTCTCCATTTTTAATCATGAAACGCCCAGTCTTCGGTTCTTAGTTAAGTTGCTTTCTGCTTGTCCTGAGCTCAGTGCCTTACTTCCTAGCTAGAATAGTCGTGCTGAGGGAGGGGGATGAGGCAGAACAGATAGCAACGGAAATAAAAGAACTGAGGGTTGGAGCCAGGCTTGGTGAGCAAGGGCCATCTTACTTTTTAGTGTGTGTGTATGCATGCATGCATACATACAAGTAATTTTAGGCAGGGTTTCACTATGTAGCCCCGGCTGGCCTGGAACTTGAACCAGCTGGCCTCGAGGTCTGCTTGTGTCTGCCTCCTGAGCTCTGTGATTAAAGATACGCCCCACTAGGTTTGGTGGCGAGAGCCCTTACAGTGGCCCTGCTGTAAGAAATTCAATGTGCATTTTATAGCATGGGAAGATGAATTCTTTGAGAGATCAGAGAACCTCTTTAATGCTCCATATTTTAAAATATCTTGTGTCTGCATCTTGTTTCATGCAATTTAATTTTTAGAAGCCGTGAGCATTTTTTACTTAGATAGGCATTGACCTGCTGACAGGCCCCCGTTATGGAAACACCATGCAGTGTTTGCCTGTGGGCTCTTCTGTATTTGTCAGCGGGGACTGGTTGCCTGGCTCATAGCATGAAGGAGTTGCCCTTTGCTGTGTTTTCACAGTTGAGATCCATTTCATTCATTTGGACACCTTTCACATCTGGTGAGGAGAGTCTCCTTATGTCGGCCATTACCAAGCCAAACAGGAAAGACTTTCTCTAATTTCTGTACCCGGAGTGGAAAATTTTTAGTACTGAATTGCATGCATTGCCCCGTTGGTGTTAGGTTAGCTCTCACAGAGTCCCAGGCTCCTGACGCTTCTAATGAGGTTAATTGTAATTCAGCTTCTTGCCCAGCGCTGTGTTAGGTACCTGGCCACAGGCAGTATGATGGGTTACCCTTCCATGTAGATGGGTTCTGTGGTGTGCTGAACGGGTACAGATAACTACAGCTCAAACACAGTGGGAGGAAGCAGAGATTGTTCCCGGGTGGGCAGAGGAAGTGTCTTTGTGGACTCAACTGTGAATTGACCATTTAAGAGCCATGGACATGCCAGGCAGAGGGATTAGCATAATTTGGGTGTCCTGATAACACCTGATAAGTTATGTGCTGATTATGTTATTTTTTTCTCCAATTGGATTCGAGGCCATTGAGCTTGGAGAAGGGTGGTTTTCAGCATCTCAGCCTTCGCTTCAACAGCCACACAGCTCGGCACATTTAATTAAAGTTGTGCTTTGGTAATATCACAGTTGTAGGGATACATGGGGGTGAGCCAAGAGAAGGGAGGCTAGACATGGGAAGACCACTGAAGGGACTCAGCAGTTTAGGACATCATGACGTTTTCAACTAGATGGAAGAGACAGGAGTGGTGGGTGTTGGCCTTGTATTCAGACCCCTGCTGTCCTTTTGTGCAGAGATGCCTGCCCGTGCTCCAGGTAATGTGGGACTAGAAAGTCATGGTGCTCCCTCACTAGACAGACAGACAGACAGACATCCCTCTGTAATGGTAGTCATAGGTATGATGCTGTAGCGGGTGAGATGATTTAAAACAAAAGACAAAAAAACCCAGGAGCCCTGTTTGGGAACCGTGAAGCTTTCCCAGGGAGGGGTAGTGTCTGAGCTGCCATTTGTAGGATAAGTAGGACTTTCTAAGGCCAGCTAGCCCCAGGAAGACCTGGGGGTGGGGTGGGGTGGGGTGGCACAGGCCCCTGGGGTTTTCAGTGTTGGGACATTTTGCTGTCATTTTGTCTGGCTCGAATACCCTGACCTTTTGTAAGTGTTTTGTTGCCTCATGTAGGCCCTGTGGAAGCATCCTGGCTGAGTGCCCCTCCTCCTGCAGGTGGCATTCCAGCCAGAAACTGCCTTTTGCTTCTGTTTTGGGAAACTACAGAGGGACAGTGCCACCAGCTCTAGAGAGGAGGAAAACAGCATCTACTGAATGCCTTTAACAAATGCACGGACCTGCTCTGGTTCTTGTCGCAGCAAGGCACAGCTGCCGACCAGTTGTCCTGGGAAGGGGCGTCGTGGGAGGGAAGCTGTGTTTTCAGGCTTATGGAACACTGGGTTTCCGTGGGATAGCTTCAAGTGGTGTCAGGTGTGCCCTCCTCCACACTGCTGCTGTCTTATAAGTTCCGACGCACATCCCACTGTTGCTTCTGAAAGCTCATCGGTGCGTGGTCTGCAGTGCCGGTTCCTCTGTTGGGTGCTCGGTCTGCAGTGCCCGCTCCTCTTCAGTGCATGGTCTGCAGTGCCGGCTCCTCTGTCCGGTGG